TTTTTGGATAAATTATCGAAAGACTTCACGGAACTACTTAGCGATAAGGAAGATTACAATGTTATCATTGAGGCTGGTACAGAATTAAATAAGAAATCTTTTACTGCGCATTCGGCTGTACTACGATACAGGTCATCTTATTTTCGTAAAGAGCTGACTAATATTGTTGCAAATGAGAAAAATATCAAAACTATCGTAAAGTCCAGTATTTCTGCTAATATATTTGAGATAATTCTTAAGTAAGTGATTTTTACTATTATAAATTAAATATTCTTGAAAGCACTAATAATAACGTGTTGTTTTTTAAAGGTATATTTATGGAGGGGTCGTTAGCTTAGAGAGTATAGATAACAAAATCATTTTTGATTTAATGTTATCTTCCGACGAGCTTGAGTTTAGAGAATTATCTGAGAAATTGGAAATTTTCCTCATCGAAGATAAAGCATCTTGGCTACGCACACATTTTTCTTTTGTTTACCAGTTGGTCTTTAATAAAACGGATCACTTTAAAGGCTTGGAAAAATTTTGCAATAACATTATAGTAAAACATCCAAACCTCATATTCGACTCTAATGATTTCGCTCTTGTCAAAGAAACAGCATTGGTTTCCCTTCTTAAAAGAGATGATTTACAAATGGAAGAAATAATGATCTGGGATAAAGTTGTTCAATGGGGAATTGCACAAAATCCAGCTTTACCTTCGAAACTCGAGGAATGGTCAAAAGAGAATTTTATTAGCCTAAGAACAACTCTTCAGAAATGTTTGCCACATATCCGCTATTTTCAAATTTCTGGTGAAGATGTTGCCGATAAATTAGAACCTTATAGAAAGATCTTTGATAAAAACCTCTGGCGTGATATAATTAATAAATTAATTGCACCCAATAAACAAATCGTATCTGATATCTTACCTCTAAGATCGATATCTATTCCAGAATTACCTAACAGAATCAGAGAACCTTTTTCAAATATCATAGACGATAATAATGTGTCAGAAATTTCATCATGGATAGACCGTAAATCGACAACATATCCGATATCAGGCATTCCCTATGAATTTCAATTAATACTAAGAGGAAGTCGTGATGGATTTGATTCGCA